CAAAGTACTACCACAAATTACTTTGTTAATTCTTTCTAGAAAAAGTTAAATGCTACAAACTAACAGAAACGGAAGTGGGATTATCACTTTACCATAATTTCATGATTATTACACAATATGTGTGTTATTTCATCGCAAATGAAACGTCTTGCCGATGGTGTTGGGCAACAGGTAGCAGCAGCAACGGCAGCAACAGCAGCAACAGCAGAATAGCGGAGACCTCCTAACAGATCGATCGCAGCGATAAAAGAACGGCTCTGCTCGAAATTTGGGTTCCTCTTTTCCATACCGAACCTCTTCCCTATTTCGTTCTCCACAAATTTGACACGATTCAACCTCACCCTTCCCACCCCTCTTTCTCTCTGTCTCCGTCTGTTTTAGTACTCTGTCGTTCCAGCACGTCGCACGTTGTTAGAGCCTCGTAGATATATGTCACGAGCCAAGGTAAGCTCTCACAGTCACCCGAGGGTGTTCTGCAAACTATGCTCGCGAAAAGTTCAACACAACTTCATAACATCAGTGTTTCGAGGGTGAATCGAGGAGGGAAAAGGAACAGAAGAGAGGAGAGTGCTGGAGGGAACGGGAAGGGGGGTAAATTTGTTCTAGCGTGAGCTTACATGGGTTTCGTTAAGTACATAGGTGTTTGGGGGTAGTTAGCTGTATCTACCCGGGCCCGTGTGGAATGTTACCTACCTCGTAAGTACATATAACTTGAGACGTCCTATCGTGTACCACCCTCTCCCCCTCTCATAGGATAAGAACTTGCCCCTCGGCTTACCCCATGTGCATCGATCTTTACGTATTACCCTAAACCTTTTCAAAATAAAATTTCTAATTCAGAATAATAGGGAAAATTGTTGACAAAAAATATAGCTGAAACAATGTTATGTATCATTACAGACTATTTTATTTTTACAGCTATCAGTTCTTGATATTTTTGTCTGGTGTTCCGTGATATTCATTTGATTCAAATGGGATAAAAAAAAACCATAGTGTCCTTCGTTCTCTCGTACCTACTACTTTTCTCCCTATTCCTCTATTTTCCGAAGCCACCAGGCATACTCTTCCTCCTCCTCCTCCTCCTCCTCCTCCTCATCTATCTCGTTATTCTCGCTGTTGGTAGTAGCTACTAGCGAAGATAAAAATCAGTAATTAGCCGGGACCATTATGGCGGCTGTTTGAAAAATTAGCGAGTACCGGGGTAACCGCCCCTCTGGGCATAATCCCGCATTGGTTGGGGCGTCTCGTACCCAGTGCTTTTCGTTCAAACGCCTACACCAACCTGTCTCTGATTTATACGGGTTTGCTATTAATTACCATTTGACTGTCCTAACTCTACCATGTGAATACCACCAGTGTATACTTGCTTTACTTCATACGAAATTTCAATATCATCTTCGAATTCGAATCAATTATTTTGATTTAATGTAAAAAAGTATAACGAGAACGTTTGATTTAATAAAATATTATAAATAGAAACTTGTGGCCAATAATAGTTAAAAAATAAAGGATAATGAGTGTTGAGCGTTTTGATTTTCTCATGCGAATTTCTAAATTGAAGAAAATATTAAAAGTATTAAAATCTTATGCAAAATGAGATATTGAGTTTTTAAAATTAATAAATTGGACCCACTAGATAATTAATTGCTCTGTAGGATACTCGACTGTAATTATTTTGTACAGGTCATTGTTTTCGGTGCAAAAAAGATTAAACTAAATTCGGAATACATAAAAATGTATAAAAATGAGGAAGATTATTTGTATCGTAAGCTGGAACAATTGAACCAATGCAAATCTGGTCTGAAAATTTGACTGGACTCGTTTCCGGTAGGGTCCACGTGCCCCGTTTTATATTTTACACGTATAGGAAAAGAATTCGAGCGACTGCGCGCCCTAGCCGAAAATTCCGGACGGATTTTCCGTCGGTCGGTTCTGTTGTTTCGGTCGCCGGCTAACCCAGCCTCAGCGGACTGCAACGCAATTAAATTAAATGCTTCGGATTAATTGTTCGAAAGCAGTTAAATTAGTTGCGTTTGTTTTGCCCGATTTTTGCGCAATCTCGCTGCGGAATGTGCGAGACGCGCGCACCGAGGGAATTTCGTTACCCCGTTACAACACACTCCCCCTTCCCCGGTTGGTTCCTCTCTTTCTCACTCTTCCGCATCTCGCGATATTACGTATAAAAGCATTTGCGAACTAACGCGTTGGTTGTTCCTGCCCGATGAAAATACATTTGCAATTGGTAATTCGCACTTTCTTTTAAATTGTCTACCCAATCCAATGAAATTCGACTTTCATTCTAATGATCACACTATATACACATATTACTAATAAATCTAGTGAATCCTACTAAAAATGATAACTTATATTTTTGTAGCACACTATTATCAAGTTCTTGGAATTAATATCTATGTGAAATACTTGATAGATATTGAATCTTTGTTGAAAAAACTTTGAATAATCCTATAAATAAATTGATTGGAAGTCAAGAAGAAAGGTCTTGGAATACGCCTAGAATTGTCGAGGTCGTCCAATCTGGAAGAGCCGCATCCAGTAGCCAATAGGAGGTTAAGGGTAACCGGAGAGGCAATACTCTCTAGGTGGGCGCATCCTGCATATTCGGCGCCGACGCCGAGCCACGACTAGGAGTGCACCGACTCTTGAGTCGCATTGCTCGGATTCTATCTGGATGTTTGATATGCATCTATGAGGAAGCCTCGCTAATCTCGCTCGGTTGGTACTCTAGGCTACCTCGAGAATTGCACGAGTTAACGTGTACACGCTAGACATGGTTAGACTGGCATCCAGCCGCAACCTCTCGACCTCATCGCGAGCCACACGGCTTTCCAACTCCTCCCACTACCACCCTCATTTCGTCTCTGCCCCTCTCCACCTTCATTTCTCCAGACATTCGAGGCATAACAGACTCGGAGATATGCATCATTAGCTTACTTGGATACCTCCCCACAATCTGCATCCAACCCCATATGAATAAACCCACTATAGTGGCGCGTAGTGAAACAAAATAGAATATAAAATTAGTAAATATCGTTCGCAAAAAATATAAACGTCCCCCTGCCTTAAAAAATGAATTACTTAAAAGGAACGAACTTTTTTTTTAAATTCACGACGCAAGAGAAATATATGCAATCCTACTGGACATAGACGAAGGAGTCGAGGGAAGGGTTTAAAGTTGGGCTTTGAAAAAAGAAAAACAAAAAAATAAAGAAAGAAAATGAAAGAAAAGGTTCGAGTAAAAGGTGGACGTCGCGAATAGGACGATACGCGTTGTGCGGTCGTTCGTTCAGCCGCATTCCCGGCGCCGAAATTGCATACCTTCGCTTACGAGTATCCAAGGTATATATATATATAAATATATACGTATATATATATATACGTTCACGTAGAACACGTAGGTGGAAACAAACGAATAGGGTTGTCGAGTATCGTAGAGTGAACAGGAGAAAGAGAATCAGAGAGAGAGAGAGAGAGAGAGAGAGAAAGATAGAAATAGATAGAGAGGAATCCTAGCCGGGTGTGTACGGAAAGAGGGAAACAGAGGGTTTTGAGGGGAGGGAGAGGTGGGTTCGAGGGTGGTTCGAGGGTGGATGTAGTGGATCGCTCGGACGTCCGACGCCGAGGGTTTGGGAACCGTAATCGCTTTGGCCCCTCTACCAACCCTCCCACCCCCACACCACAGCTCGCTCGCTATTTATTGCCCGCACTTGGCCGGTTCACAACATAAATATGTTACACCTATGGCCACACCTATGCCCGCTTGCCATCCAAAATTCTTCCTCTCTCTCTCTCTCTCTCTCTCTCCCTCTTTCTCTCTTTAACTCTAACTCTGCGGAATAAACGGACCGTGCAAAGATTCGTTCGCCGATCGTGGAAGGGTTTAAACGGTCAGGGGGTTTCCTCTTTTCTACGATTGTATTTCTTTTTCTTTTTTTTTTTTTTTTATTTACTTTTTCTTTTTTCTTCTTTTTTTTCTGAAGAATGTTTTTTATTTCTTTTTTATTTTTTATTTTTTTTTTTTTTTGTTATTATTGAGACAAATTGAATCATTTTATTAGCAATTATTTACTTAATTATTTTTAGAATGTTAATTCATATCTGTGATTGTAAAAGTTTCATAGAAAAGGGGGATGAGGATAACGTTAGTTTGAATTTGACGAAGTTTTACCATTTACGATAGGGACGCATTATGGAGTTATCAAATTTCAGACGAAATTAGACAATTTATATTCCAAGAGAGAGAGAGAGAAAGAGAAAGATAATATCTCGAGTATTGTTCAATAGATTTATATTTAAAATGATATCAAAGAAAATTGAAAGAAAGATAATTGTACCATCATTTAGGAATTGTATTATTGTAATGAAAATAAGAGAAAATGTATTAGAATTTATTTTATAAAAAGAAAATCCTAATGAAATATACATTAATATTAATCTACACAATCCTTTTATTCAACAAACAATGTTTATAAGTAATTAAAAAATAATCAACAAAACATTCGTATAAATGTAATGTTAAGGTAATTTCAAATAGATCGAAAATATTTAACAAAACATGATGGTCTATAATATAAAACGATCAACTCTCCTTAGCAATATGGAAAGAATTGTTATAAAAATAAAAAAGCTAAGGCGTATCTCGTTCGAGAGGAGCTTTTAAAGATCCATGATTGCGTGTTCGAGTTTAGCGAGATAAAAGAAGGACCAACTGTTGAATATCGTTCTCTCCCCCATGATGAGCGAAGCGACACGAGCGGAGGAAACACTTCGTATCGATCGTTTGAGTTACGCGGTCTCTCAACGAACACACGAGAGTACAATTTCGACAGTCGTCGTTGTCGTCTTCCATCGACAACACGTGTGTGTGTGTGTGTGTGTGTTGTTTTACGTTTTTTATTTATCACCAAAATAACATACGAAATTGTAATAGTGATTTAAGTGTTTAATAGCAATTAATGATTCATAAAAAAAAAAAAACTCACGTCTCATTTGTCGAGTTTGAAGTACACCGCAACCACCACCTCCACCACCACCACAACCACCATCAAACGTGGATTGTTTGAATATTCTTTTCTTTTTTTTTTATTATTATTATTATTATCTTCACCCTTGTAATGAATAAGCAAAAAAAAAAAATATCTCAAAACCGTGCTTGCTTGTCTCTTCTTGTTAAACTTTGTTGTTCCAAATAAACGAGTGACAAAAGAAATAAATAAAAAATAATAATTATATAATATAACTACAACTAATTGACGTATTAAAAAAAAAAACAAACAAAAAATAGAAAAAAATTGTATCAATCACCTATGTATAATCGTTTATTATTGTATTTGGATAAATAGATAACAAATCGCGCGCGTGTGATTTCGATGAAATTCGCGTGTCGTGTCCTTTCGAAATAAGCTTTCGTAAGGTTGAATAAGGTTGAACGTAAGCGGTCTAGGGCCGCCGCGAGCGTGCACGTGCAACTCGGACGCGTGGCACGTGGTGTTTGCCGGAGTGGCTCGACTCCAAAACCGCTGAGCAGAGCTTGCAAGCTCTCGTACTTTCATTGGCCGATGGGTGGAAACTGCGCATGGTTGCGGGTGTGGCCAGAGCTTAAGGGGCGGAATAAGCTCCTACTGGCGATAGGACACCCTAGAATGGGGGTGTTACGTCTTTAGGGGTGGTTACGATTCGACGCTCTACCTACCCCACCGTAATAACACTGGACTTCTCTCGCTACACGAGCTTTTTCCTTAAGCTTTCAACTTCACTGCGGCTCCAACTTCGAACTTCACAAAACTGAGATAGAGAGAGAGAGAGAGAGAGAGAGAGATGGAGAGAGAAAGACATCTATATATCTTCATTTCTACTTGGACGATTTCCTGCAATTAGACCAAAACTTCAAATTTAAAGTCCTGGAAGAACATTTATAACTAAGTTTTATTAAACCTTATCGTTCCGTCATCAAATAAAGCGAATATTTCATTTCCAAAACGAAATATTTCAAATAAGATAGAAAATGTTGGGAAGGGGGGGGGTTCTCATTAACTAAATATTAAAATGTGTACAATTAAAACCCACAAATATACAAAATAAAATAAAAATATAATCGGAAAAAAAGAATTCACGAGATGATCATTAAAAAAAATTCATTTATATATAAGAATCATCCCTAAAACCGAAATGTTTGAAAGATAAGAAAAGTATAGATCTTGAAGAAATTGGTAAACGTAAAGCGTCATAATTACTTTTCCATTTTTGTAGCAACAGGTGGAGAGCCAGGGTTGCGATAGGTCGGTGTGGTAACCTGAAAAAAAAAGGAAAAAAAAAAAGAAAAAAAAAAGAGAGAAGAGGAGACATACGAATGAAGCAGCAGCAGCAGCAGCAGCAGCAGGTCGCGAGCAGCAAAATTTCCCTCAAAATCACGAGCACTCTGGTATTTCGTTGTAGGTCCTGAAAACATAGTGAACGTGAGAGAGAGAGAGAGAGAGAGAGAAAGGGGTTGGAAAGGGAGGGAGTAGATGTGGAACGTGGTATACGCACAAACCGTTTAACAAATCGGGACCAGCTCGTCAATGTTTGACGAGGTCGCATGTCGATGGTAAAACGAAAGTCTAATCACGGCTTGGTCGATAAATAAATCGTACTAGCTAAACAGCCAAAGTCAGTTAGAACGAGAGGTGGTTTGACCAAAACGTGGGGGGTGGTAGATAGGTAGGTAGCTAGGTAGGTAGGTAGGTAGGTAGGTAGAATCGATGGGGATGCAGCGGGGTGGACTTTCCATCACGTATTTACACGGTATGCCTACTGATTGGCGCACTCGCGTACGCCCGTTTTAATGATTTACCCTTGGAGAATGGCATTTGCGCTATAACGGCGTGACGTAATTTATTATCGATTATCGTTCGCGCCGAATAAACATCGCTTTAATTATTCACGGGATCGAGTGCACGCCGCACTCGGGCTTTCGCGATTCGCTTCGACGATACGAGTTTTGATGATTTTTTCTTTTTTTTTTTTCTTGTCATTTGTTTATGTTAATTTTTTTTTTTTTTTCAAATCCCGGCGCCAAAGCGTCAATCGATCGAAACGTGTCCAAGAAGAAAATGATTATTTTGTTTCATCGATTAAGGATAAAAGATAATTGCAAATACCTATCTCGTCATGCAAAGTAATACAATTTTCTAAGAATAACCTAGACAAAGAAATAATAAACTAAGATAGGATGAAATTATCTCGTAATAACGAGATCTAATTTGGATAAGTAAGGAAGATCGAAGGAGGATCGAAATATTGATATCCCAAAAGAAGGATAATTTGTTCTACCTTTGGTTTCCCTTTAATCGGATGATCGCGAGACAACGAGATCGTCTCTATTTCCATTGCTAGACGAGAAAAGATGAATATTTAAATATGATCTTCGTCTTTGCTCCGTAGCCAATTATATGACACGTTGATTATTGATTAATTGCAATTATGGGCTCCTCCTTTTCCGATGCTTTACGTAAAGATTGATATATTATAAATAGAAAAGGGAGAAGGATATAGAAATGGAGATGGAATGGTGGTAGCTTTCCAAATGGGTTTAACGATCGTTTTGTTTAATAAATTCCCAATGACGGACGTACCGGGGACGGATGAGAATCCGCCTCGCGAGTTCGCGCGCTAGTAGTCCGCTCGCGAGCCATGAGCGACGTGTCATTTATCGTATATAACGGTTGAACATTTATGCGCGCTCTCGTGTCGCATAATTGCAATTAGAATGGAATTCATTTACATCGACCGACATTCGATTTGTTCCAAAGGGGTTGGAAAGCTTCGATTTACATGCGCTCTCGCATATTCGACGACTACACACTATCGGCACGGACGGCAGTCTGGATTTATTTCGATGAACGTCAATCCCGTGGCCGTGCTGCGATGTAAATGAGATTAGATTAGCCTATGTCATATAACAATACCCGAGCCCCTCGTCCACGATTTTACTCGTTGCGGTTTTAGGATAACACCCTTCCCCCTATTTCACGATTTATTGTACTTTCAATATCTTTGCTTTCAGGCTTTTCTTCTCTTTTTTTGATAATTCGCGTGTTACGAGTGAACAACAAATCGTAGATATGGGTTTATGGTTGGACCATCTATAACAGTTATGTCAAGCCCGTATATGAGTATTACGACGCTAACAAATTTGATTTAGATGAACAAATGTTTGACCGATCGTGAACATAAAGAAGCCTTTGTTAGCCTGAACTTAAATAAAATTCGAATATTATAGAATGGTCTGTGTTAGCATAACACCTGCTAATAAATAGATTTGTAGATATAAATAATTGTACGAAATGCTTCAATATTATTTCGACTCGAATTTTAATTCAAAAATAACTAA